GGGGGGGGGGGGTTGTGGCTAACTAGAGTCTCGGGATATGCTATAGCATTCTAAATCCCCGAAACAAAAAGGTTCGGGAGGAATTGACATTTACAACAGCCCTTTAACCATTCTTGATTTATTTACCTCTTCCTAATGGTTTTGTATGCTTATGGGCTTTCTAAGTAGAAATGTGCAATGTTGTAATATGGGTACATAAGCGAACAGGTGAGTTCAATTCAATCAATCAATTTTATTGTATAGAACGCCAATTCATAACAGAAGTTATCTCAGGAACACCTTTTCACAATAGAGCAGTCTAGACCCGAACTCCTTATAACATTTTACAGAATACCCAACAGTACCACCATGAGCAAGCACTTTGGCGAACGGGGGCAAGGAAAAACTGCCTTTTAAACGGCCCAGAAACCTCGACAAACCCTTCGGGCTCTAGGTGGGTTTCATCTGCCTTGACCAGTTGGGGGATGAAAGAGAGACGACAAGAGAACAGGAGAGACAGAGAGACAAACATTGAGTAAAAGTTGGTAAAAACAAAAAAAGGTGAGTAAAAACCCTTTTGAAACTGTTCCATGACTTCCAGCTTACCTGTCACACAGCACATAGACCTTGTAAAAGCACGAGCTCACAAAGCATTCTGACCCAACTTTAAAACACCGAGAGAACAAAGAGCTGGGCAATAAACGCGTAAACCTGTGGCTGTAATTAACACTGGGATAGGGTGTGGGGAAATCGTTGGATTTTAAGGAATGACAAGTGGGTTTACTTGTGCTTCTAGATGGATTATAAATTCACTGCAACATCAAAATCACTTACCCTCCACTAGAGGAAATTTACCCCCCAAGCCTAATTTCCCCTAACTACCCCAAACACCCTTATTGCCCTTAGTCTTAATTGCCTACCACCATGCATACCTTATTTCCAGCTTACATTCCCCCCCAATTTACCATTTACCATTTACCAAGTTGGTCAGACTCTAATTGCTGCTTGACTGGAAGGGATTTTAGGAAACATGATTTGAAAGCAGTGAAAGAAATGAGAACTATGCTGGGAAGCAGCTCTGGGGACACTGTTGGCTGCTATGTTCGATCCAGCTTCAGGGCCCCTGTCAAAGAGTACCCTTCCCCAAAAATGCGGCTCTGGAGAAGCTCGGCTGTACGGTTGTCTCCTAAAATAACTGCCGGCTCAAAAAGGCCCTCAACCCACAAATAATAACTATCAACAATAAACACATTTCTATTTAAGAAAATACATGCCACAACTTTAACATCTTGTTGAAGATGAATTTACAGAAATGCTACTTTAAGAGCAAATTTTTGAAAATCAAAAAAGAAAAAGAAAAGATATTTTTTTAGAAAACAGGTGTAGAAAATGTGTAACATCTGCAAGAAATGAAAGGAGACTAACTTATAATAGAAGGATTTAGGGGTTTAAAGATCATCTTGATTTATTTGTTAATGTTGATTTCAGGGTAGTGTCAGCAAACCTTTTCCTGTATTAAAAGGGTTTTTTATAAGTATTTCAATAAAGTCTAGATGTATTGTGCAATAGGGGACATTTGAACAATAAACATCTGAGCATATCAATAAAGATCGCCTCAAGCCTGATCTGTGAGAAATCCCAAGAAGAGTGTGTGAAAGGATAACTGACAAAATGTGAGGATATTTAATTCAAATGCAGGTGTAAGGTGTTTTCATGCAATTGGGATGCAAATAGCTTTTTAGTTTTAGACTTATAAAAACCCAATTATGATTCAAAATGTATCTTTATGGTTTCATGTTTGTAATTACAAGAAAATAATTTCCCTGTGCCGGCTACAGAGGGGATGCTACATCCAAACTAAAAGCCACAGCTTGCTCTCAACAGGCTTTTGACAGATCTTGTTGCCTAAAAACATGAGTTGGAAAGGAAGTGTGGGAAATTGTGGCAAATGTTTTCAATGTAATCCAACACATGTTTGAGAGTACAAGCCAGGGTAAAGAAGTGCACCATGGCTCCTGTAATTCCAATGATGATGACTGTTGGTGAAACCCCACCTCCCATCACAGCCCCCACCCACTTCAGAGTGCCTATCTACCCATTTCAACTTCTTCTGGAAAGCCTGGTAATAGAATAAACATTTCTATGGGTGAGCAGCGATAAATTGCAAATCCACAAATCCACAGGAAAGGAGTGGTAATGAATGAAGGTGGTGCGGTGGCTTGTTTGGCTTTCACCTTGTAGTGACTGCAATAATATGTCTTGGTAGGGGCAAAATCCTTTAACTAAGGGAGTATGAATTTGTATATAGAACTCATTTTCTGTGTGGGAGTCAGTCAGACAGTCCCAGGCTTATAATAGTGAAGCCACATGATCTCTACCATTTCTGGACTGATGAATCATTACCAAATACCCTCCAAGTGGTAAGATTATCCTCAACCATCATAGGCATGCAAATGATGGACCAAAATAGCCATCACCTAAGTTTTGTTGCCTGCTGCAGCCTAGATGAACTTCAAATCTTGTTCTGGAAAAGTCAAAAGGTGAATCAAAGTGTTGAACAGAAGGGATGTAATGCTAAATATAACACATCCCTTCTGGAAACCATTTAGTATTAAAAAAATATGAGCAAGAAATCCATTCTTCAATTAAGATAAATTAGTACTGTGGTGACATTCCAAGGTATTACCTCTCACTAATGGCTTAGCTTCATGTGATGGAGTGCCAGGCAACAGCGGGAAACTGTAATGTATCCCAAAAGGCTTTGCCAAGACACAGATGATTAATGTGGAGCAATGCGCTAGGCTGCTCTGGGGGGAATGTAAGCTGGAAATAAGGTATGCATGGTGGTAGGCAATGTAAGACTAAGGGGCAAATAAAGGGTGTTTGGGGTAGTTAGGAAAATTAGGCTGGGGGGGGGGGG